ATTGATCTCTTCCAATCAGTCGGCCAGATAGTTGTCTTCCAAATTTCTTGACAGAAATGAGTGAGTGCCTCTTGTGCTGCCTCACTTTCTTGAAAGATTTCAATTTTTATTCCATCAATTCCTGGTGCCTTGTTCTTTGCCGATTCCTTCAGTGCACTTTGGACTTCCTTTTGAAAGAATTATGAACTGCCAAAAGAGCAAACAGATCTGTATTGAAAGTAGTACAGCCGGAGTGCTCCTTAGAAATGAGCATGGCAGGACTTGATCTCTGAAACTTCGGACATGTTGTCAGGAGGGACCAGTACCTGGAGCAGAACAACAGCATGCTTAGTAAAGTTAGGATGAGGGTCAGTGCAAAAGAGGAAGAGCCTCAAAGAGATGGATTGACATAGTAGAAGCAACAGTGGGCTCAAACACAACAATTGTGAGATGACACAGGACCAGGCAGTGTTTTGTTTTGTTGAACATAGGGCCATTGACTATGAGTTGAAACCCACTGATGACACCTAACACAACAGCCACGTGAGTCAGAACTGCCTCCATGGTAGTGGGTTTGCTTTGTTGTTGCTAGTGAGCATAAAGTGGCCTTTCATTGTGGCTTTGATTTTGCATTTTATTAAGGTCCAGTGATACTAAGATATTAACCATTTGTGTGTCTTCTTTAGAGAAATGTCTATGCAAGTTTATTGCCCAGTTTTTCATTGGGTAATTTAACTTTTTGTTGCTTTGTTCTTTATAAGTACAGGATATTTGACTCTTACCAGATTTATGATTTGAAAGTAGTTTCTCCCATGCTGTAGATTGTTTCTTCATATTCTTAATGATGCTCTATGATGCAGAAAAGTTTTTCATTTTGATGGTGCCCAATTTATCTCTCTTTTTTTTTTTTTTTCACTTGCTGCTTGTGTTTTTGGTGTCAAGCCTAAACATCATCCATTGCCTAATTTGAAATCATGCCGATTTCTTGCTGTTTTCTTCTAAGAGTTTGATAGTTAACGTTTACGATCCATTTTGAGCTACTTGTGTGTATAATGTGAAGAATCCCACCTTGTACTCTTTTACATATACTCACCCAGTCTTCCCATCACCATTTGTGGACGTGACAAAGTTACAGTGGAAACGCAGTGTAGACAAGATAGCTTTTTCAACAAGTGGTCTTGGAACTATTGGATAAACATTTGTCTCTCTATCTTCCCTCATCCTTAAAAAAAAAAGCGTTGACTTAAGCGTCGTATGTTTTAGAAAAGTGAACTCAGGCTTGATCACAGGTCTAAATGTGGAGTTTTTAAAGCTGTAGAAAAAGCAGAAGATCTTTGCATTCTGCGGCTGGATAGAGCGTTCTTAGACTTTGCAAAGAGCTCAAAAGCTTGACCCATGAAAGAAACAAATGGATAAAATGAACTTCATCAAACTTTTAAACTTTTGCTCAGCAAAAGGTACTGCTAAGGACTGTGCCCTTTTGTTGTTTAAATGATTATATATTCATGAGTGTTTTTGTGTACATTCTACTCCTAAAAAAAAATCCCAAACAAACAAAACAAAACAAAAAAACCCAGAGGAAATAGACAAAAATACTGTTGAATGATGATGCACAGAGGGGATTGTAATCATTGCAATGAAACAATAAGTGTAAAACTGAAATTCTCCCATGTAAACTATCACTCAGTTCACAATAAAAAACTTTAATAATAATATAAAAAAGACACCGCTAAGAACATGAGAAGGCAGGATGCCATTGGAGAAAATATTAACAAATCACATATCCAACAAAGGGCTTTTTTCTAGAATACGTAAAGAACTGTCAGAATCAACAGTATAAAAACAGACAATCCAATTAAAAATGGACCTAAGACTTAACACTTCACCCAAAAGGTGGGGCAGTAAGCGCATGAGAAAATGCTCAACATCAGCAGACATTAGGAAAAAGCAAATTCAAGTTATGAGGAGATATCACTATTGTTGTTGTTGTTCTTGTGTGTCATCGAGTCATTTCCAACCATTGTGACCCTGTATAAGGTTTCCAAGGAGCCTCTGGTGAGCTTGAACCACCAACCTTGCTGTTGAACCTTACTTTGCAGTGCAGCGCGTTATCCCACAGTGCCACACACACCTATTCCAAAGTCTGCTGCTGTGGAGTTGATTCTGACCCTAGCAGCCTATAGGACAGAGTAGGCAGGCCCCCTAGGGTTTCTAACACTCTGAATGTTTATGGAAGTACACTGCCACATCGCTCTCCTGTGGAGTGGCTAGTGAGTTTGAACCACTGACCTCTTGGTTATCAGCCAAGCGCTTAACCACTGCATTACCAGGATTCTTGTTGTGTGCTGTGGAGTCAGTTCTAATTCATAGTGACCCTGTATACTGTTTCCAAGGCTGTAAATATTTATGAGAACAGAGTTGCATCTTTCACCCAAAGAGCGGTTGGTGGGTTTGAACTGCTGACCTTGTGATTAGCAGTCCAGGTAGCGTAGTGGTTACGAATTGGGCTGCAAACCTTAAGGTCAGGGTTCGAAACTACCAGCCGCTCCGCAGGAGAAAGATGAGGCTTTCTACTCCCGTAAAGATTTACACCCTCGGAAACCCTGTACAGGGTCGCTATGGGTCGGAACCGACTCGATGGCACTTAACAACAACAACAACTAATTCTACAGTGCCACCTATTGTTGTGGTTAAGTGCCTTCAAGTTGGCTCTAACTCATGGTGACCCTGTACAGGGTTTCCAAGGAGCACCTGGTGGGTTTGAACCACCAACTTTGTAGCTGGCAGTCCAGTGCTTATCCTACAGCGCAACCTAATAGAATGGCTAAATTAATTATTTAAAAAACAACCCGTGATAGTAAGGATGTGGAGCAGCTGGCACTTGGATGCACTCATGGTGGGAATGGACATGGCACTGGAAAACAGCTGGACCGTTGCTATCCAGTTAACCCTAAACCAGCAATCCTCCTCCCAGGTATTGCCCTAGAGAAGTGGAAGCCTGTTCACCCACACCCCCCCTGAATGTTTATAGCAGCGCTGTTTGTCCTAAAAAGGAAGCTATCCTGGGCCTCACCCGATAGCCCAGATGCCCCTCAGTGGATGAAGGAATCATCAGGCTGTGTTGAACATAGACAGTCTGATCCTGCTGTTCTTAAGTCGGTACTAACTCATAGCAACCTTGTATAAGGTTTCCGAGAAGTGACAGATAAGTTTGGTTAGCAGTCCAGTGCTTACCCTGCAGCACCACTCCATCACCTCATGGATTATTCCAACAAATACCTGTTACCATCAAGTTAGTTCTCAGAGACCTGTAAATCTGTATGGAAACAGACTGCCTGCCGCATCGTTCTCCAGCAGAGCAGCTGGTGGGTTCAAACCAGCGATGGTGCCACCAGGACTCCTAATGGAATACTAGTCTGCAGTAAAAAGGACTAGGCTATGGATGCACAGCGTGATGTGGTGTTCTCAGTGAAAGACGCTTGTCTGCTATAGCATCTCATTTCTGTGACAGTCTTGAGGAAACGGTAGTGAAGGAGACCACGTCAGTGACTCCGGAGGTCAGGCGTGCAGGGAGAGGGTGACTCCAGATAGGAGCAGGAGGAAGGTGTCCTGACGGTGGTGGTGGTGTGAATCCACACATGGTAGAATGCATAGAATGTTAAGCCAAAAGAGTCCTTTGGACTATATGTTAATTTAAAACAAAAACACTCCCACACCCTGCACAAGTTGCTCCAGGGTGCAGCCGTGAACTGAAGTGCTAACGTAGATAAATGGTGCCTAAAAGCAGTTAGAGTGGGAAAGAAGTATAAAGAAACAGCCACTGTTTGTCAAAGTGTGAAGAAGCCGGTGAAACTTGCCACAAAAGCTAGTGGCAGGATTTTTACATATCTGATCGCAAAAACTGGGGAGGAGGGGTTCACAGCTTAATTTAAAGGCTGTTACTGCTAACTTGGGAGGAGTCATGCACAGGATTCTTGCTTACTTAATATTTCAGTAAAGCTCTGAATTCATGTTTTAACCACTTGCCTTGAAATTCCATGTTGGTTCTCCAAGTGATTTCAATCTGCTCTAATTCAACGGGTATTCCCTTGATGCCTCCATGGTGCTCCTGAGAATGTCAGCATGAACAAAGCGTGGTCCCTGGGTCGGGCGTGGGGAGATACACAGATGCTCAGGGTGCACCCCAGGAGATTTAGAACATTCAGGATCCACGTGTTTGGGCTGCAGCCAATGTGTGTTTTTAATGCTCTGGTTTGAGATGCTGAGGGGTGGCATGGGAATCACACACTGGCAGGAGCGACAGCACCCAGGGTGTAGAAGGGGCACATGAGGGCATGGAGCCCTGGGAGGGTCTTCCTGAAGACGGGTAACTCCTGAGCCAGACTTTGGGGAGGCGATGGACAGGACGCTGCACATGTGGAGCAGAGCAGCTGAGAGAGGACCTAGAATCACAGGGTGGAGGCCGCAGATACCAGGGACAGTGACAAACGTCACTACTGAGCCAGAGGCTCAAGTTATTTTATTGAACCATGGAGTTAGGACCACCTGGGAGGAGCTGCCTGAGATTCAGGTACCCTGGCCCACCTTAACCTGTGGGTGGGATCAGACATTCTGAGTGAGGCCTGGAACCGGCCACTTTAACCAACACTGAGGGCGCTTTGTACTGCACTCTGGAGAGAGGGACAGCACCTAAGAATGTGTACTCCCGAGTGTGATCCGTGTGTGTGTGTTCATTGCACAGCTCACCACTGGACACCCTCACCAAGTCTTGCATCTTGTTCAGATTTTCCTGGGGACAAATTTGTCACTCTGCAGTTACAAGCAGCATTGTTCCCCAGAATGTAATGGAGCCCTAGGTGGGGAACTCTGGGCTGTTAGGTTTGTGTTGAATAAGACAAGGCAGGTGAGGTGGGATAGGCCCTGGGGGAGAAGGTGGCCCCTCATGTGTCCTGTTGTCCTTCCCAGGAGCAGCAGCCAAGCTGGACAGATGACCTGCCACTCTGCCATCTCTCTGGGGTGGGCTCAGCTTCCAACCGTAGCTACTCTGCTGATGGCAAGGGCACTGAGAGCCACCCACCTGAGGACAACTGGCTCAAGTTCAGGTGAGCGTTTATAGTCAGGTGCCCGTGTGTGTAATGGCCGTCTCTGCTCTGCCCTTGACCTCACTAATCTGCAGGCCAGAAGGGTGATGGTCACAGTAGGGGACCCAGAGGGCGTCTTGGTCTCCCCATCCCTCTCTGGCCTATCTCTCTGCAGGAGCGAGAACAACTGCTTCCTCTATGGGGTTTGCAATGGCTACGATGGCAACCGTGTGACCAACTTCGTGGCCCAGCGGTTGTCGGCGGAGCTCCTTCTGGGCCAGCTCAGCACTGAGCACACTGAGGCTGACGTGCGGCGTGTACTGCTACAGGTAAAGGTGCTAGGACAGGTGACCAGGGAACCGGAACGTTCCGAGGCCCCGCTCTCTGGCTCTCCTTCCCCAAACGGCAGGGTCGAGCTGCTCCTGGAGAGGGGGGCATTGTGAGTCGGGACCTGAGACAGAGCTGTCTGACTGTCAGACAGACTAGGACTGCCCCCGTAGGTTTCCGAGGCTGGAGTAACTGGTGAGGCCAAAGCAGCCATGGTGCCACCGGGGTTCCTTGGAGGGGGCTCAGCCTTTAGGAACAAGGACCCCGAGTACCATCCCTTTCCTTCAATGTGGATAAGTGCTTGACCTCAAACTATAGAAAGATCCCTGAGTTTGAGAAGCAAACCTTGCCCCCCACCTCTGATGGATTCATGTCCAGTTGCCAGTCTGCGTTTCTGCTTGCTGCATGCGATTGGGGGTGCTCCCCCCTCACTTCTTTTAGAAGTGCACCTGGAGTCTCTTTTGTTTGAGATGAGGGTAGATTCATGGTCCCAGCCTTCTGCCTCAGCAGATCAGCACCCACCATGACCTCTACATGTCCCACACCTGGGTGGGGATGCTGGCCTCCCCAGTGGCCAGAGCCACTCACAAAAGGGAACCTAGTGCTGATGCTAGTCATTGGAGTGGGTGCTCGAGACGGTTGGCTCACTTCATCCTCTAACACCCTTGTCCCCATTTCTGAGATGAAGAGAAGGTGGCACAACCTCTGTGTGTCACCTGCTTCTCTGGCCGGCCGACTGTCGGGTAGTCGAGGGGAGGCAGCCCTTGAAGATGAAGCCCTGTCATGTCAGTTACAGCCCTGGCCTCTGTCCTGCCAGGCCTTCGATGTCGTAGAGAGGAGCTTCCTGGAGTCCATCGATGATGCGCTGGCTGAGAAGGCGAGCCTCCAGTCTCAGCTGCCCGAGGTGAGCCAGGCAGTCCCCTGTTCCCCTGTCATGTCACTCTGGGCAGGGACACAGCGGGTCCTGAGTAGCAGGGGCCAGGAATATGCCTCAACAACTAAGCAGCAAAAGGTGTGAGGCAAGGCCTTCCAGGTCAGCCCTGTGGCTGCGTCTGTCCACCTGTCACCTCACACCTCAAGAGCTGACTTCTGAGCTCCCGTGCACACAGGACAGGGCTCTCCTGGAAGAACCCTGTCCTCTGCCACCTGTGGGCCCCAGGCCTGCTCTCCAGGCTCTTCCAGGGAGGGGCAGGTGTGCCCGCCCCAAGGATGAGACTTCCTGCTCTGACCCCTAGGGCGTCCCGCAGCACCCGTTGCCGTCTCAGTACCAGAAGCTCCTCGACAGACTACGAGTGTTGGAGAAGGAGGTCTCCGGAGGGGCCATGGCTGTTGTGGCGGTCCTTCTTAACCACAAGCTCTACGTCGCCAACGTTGGTGAGTCCCTGTCCAGCCCCCAGTGGGGAGGGGGACAGGGAAAAGGAGGCCTATTTGGGGACACTGCCATCTGCTTTCCAGACCCCTAAAACAAGTCTCTAAGCCATTTGGATATTGTCCCCTCTTACTCTACAGAAACGTCACCGGCAAGCTGCAGGGGACGGTTGCTTGTTGTGTATACTTTTCATTGTGACTGAGTGAAGGTTTACAGCGATTAGTTTTATATACAACAGATCAAACACTTGTTTCATCTCGATGGCAGTCTCCTCCGTGTAGCAACCGTGTCCCCACTCCCTCCCTGTGGTTCCTGTTTCCAGTCCACTCATCTTCCCACCCATTCTCAACCTCGTCCGTAGGGAAATGGTGCCCTTTTGATCTAAAATGATTGAGCATTCCTTAGTGAGCATAACTCCCCATTATACCTCTCTACTGCTTAGCTGAAAAGTGAGTCACCAGGGTGACTGTACTTCCAGACCTGAAGAGTGGCCAACGGCCATAGTCTGGGGTTCCCCCAGTCTCTTTGTGACCAGTAAGCCTGGTCTTTTTAAAAATAATTTTGTTTTGTTTCACATTTTCACCCACTCTATCCAGGACCTCCTAACGGTATCCCTTTCAGAACCGTTGGTACTGGTAGCTGGGCCCCCATCTAGTTCTTCTGGTCTCAGAATGGTGGAGACTGATGTTCAGTGTTCCATTGGTCCACTGGATTAGTCGATTCTAGGCATCTTCAAATTTTCATCACTCTTCTTTCTTCTGCACATGGAGAGACCAATAGTTGCACCTCAGATGGCCACTCATGAGCTTTTAAGATCCCAGTCACTACTCACCAAAGTAGGATCCAGAGCGTTGTCTGTGTGGACTGTGTTCTGTCAATGGACTACAGTGTCCCCCGAGACTGTGGTCCTGAGCGCCCAGCTCCAGCAGCTCACTGCCTTAAGATGTTTGATGATATTTAAGTAGTTGTCATCATTTTGCCCCCTGTAACCTCCATGTGATACTGTAGGATAAGCACTAGGTCACTAAGCCCAAGATTGGTGGTTCAGACCTCCCAGCTGCTGTTTGGAAACCCTATCCAAGTCAAAACCCATGAGTCAAAACTGACTTAGTGGCACTTAACAACAACAACATGCTACACCGCATCCATAGGTATATTTACAACAAATGTAAATGTACAGATATCCTCTGTCAGATCGTACATGTTGTGAGTATACTCCACTCTCCCTCCTGCACGCATGCAGCCTGCGTATCTGGCCATGTATCCACCCATAGGGCACTGTTGTCCCCGGATTGTGTACAGAACACTATTCACCCCTTTAACCCTTTCATTCCTCCCTGTGTCATCACCTGTCTTCATCATTCTTCTGCCAACCTTCCGCTTGTTCTTGCTCTCCCCATCAACCGAGTTAACATGTGTCTACTCTCTAACCAGTGAATTACTCTCTCTTTCCTCCCATCTGTTGTAACCATCATAGGATGTTTCTTTTAACAAGAAACAGTTGTCTCATTCAGTGTTGGTCCTTTTGTGATTGAGTAGTTTCACGCAGCATAATGTCCTCCAGGTTCATCCATGTTATGAAGTGATCCACAGAGTCATTGTCATTTGTCAACCTTGTGCAGTACCTGCATTGTGTGTATGTACTGGAGTTTATCTATCCATTCTGCCACTGATGGGCGTTTAGACTGTCTCCCACCTTTTTGCTATTGTGAATAATCCTGCGACGAACATGGGTGTGCATGTATTTATCTGTGTCTTGGCTCTTATTTCTTGGAGCTATCTACTAAATAGAGGGATTGCGGGGTCATATGGTATTTCTGTTTTCACCTTTTTGAGAAAGCACCGTACCGTTTTTCACAGAGATTGCACCATTTTGCACTGATATATTTGCTCTTCAACATTTTAAAAAGGTCCTGGCCTCCCAGGAACACTCTGGCTGCACGTCTTTCAACACAGATCTGTTGGTTCTTTTGGCAGCCCATGGCACTTTCAATATTCTCCAACACCATAACTCAAAGGCATCAATTCTTCCAAGGTCTTCCTTATTCACTGTCCAATTTCATCATCACTGGCTTTAATGGCTAGTGCGTAAATTTGAATAATAGTGGTATTAGCTGGTCTTCCTTGTAGGCGTATGGATATTATCCTATCACAGACAGCATTATACTTCATGACTGATTTTAAAATGCTCTTTTTGATGATGTATGCAAAGCCATTCCTCTTCAATTTGTCATTCCCGGCACAGTAAACCATATGATTGTCAGATTCAAAATGGCCAATACCAGTCCATTTCAGCTCACTAATGCCTAGGATACCGATGTTTGTGCATTCCATTTCATTTTGGACAATTTCCAATTTTCCTAGATTGATAGGTCGTACAGTCCATGTTCTGATTATTAATTGATGTTTATAGCTGTTTCTCTTCATTTTAAGTTGTGTCTTATCAGCAAATGAAGGTCCTGATGGCATTCACATCATTCACATCATTCACAGTCAGCTGTACTTGGAGGAGGCAGCTCTTCCCTAGTTGTATTCTGAGTGCCTTCCAACGTCAGAGGCTCAGCTTGCAGTGCTCTCTATATCTGACTGTATTCTGGTGCTCTTCATCAGGCTTCAGTATTCAGTAATCTGGAGCTGACAGTCTTCCACGCCGTTCATAAAGCTTTCAGTGACTAAATATTTGGAAGTAGTCCGTTTCTCCTCCTTCCTGGTCTGTCTTTGTCTGGAAACTCAATTGAAGCCTGTCTACCATGGGTGACCCTGTTGTGGTATTTAAAATACCTATAGCATAGCATCCAGAATCACAGCAATACACCGCCACTACAGTATGACAAACTGACAGGCAAGTGGTGGCGTATAAAGTTAGTGATCAGTTTTCCATCTCTTAATAGAATGACTTTGGAATATGGACTGGGACTGCATTATATCTATAGGCTGCTTGGGGGGTTGTTAGGGTTTTCCCAATGGTAAATCTTTCTATCCTTGAGCTTGGTGTATGCTTCCATTTTGTAAAGTCTCTTTTGGTTTCTTGTAGTAGTATATCATAGTTTTCTTTGTATAGGTCTTTTGTTTCTCTGGTTAGACTTATTCCTGTATATTTCATCTTTTGGGTGGCATTTGTAAATGGTATTGTTTTCCTGATTCCCTTTTCAAACTGTCTTTATTAGTGTGAAGGAATCCAGCTGGTTTTCACATATTAATCTTGTACCCTGCTTCTTTGCTGAGTCTTTCAATGAGTTCCAATAATTTTCTTGCTGAGTCTTTTAGGTTTTCTATGTACAGGATCATATCATCTGCAAATAGACTTTTACTTCTTCTTTGCCAGTTTGAATGCCTTTCGTTTCCCTTTCTTGTCTTACAGCTCTAGCTAAGACTTGCAGCACCATATTGAATACGAGTGGTGATCAGGGACCTCCTTGTCTGGTTCTTACTTGCAGAGGGGAAAGCCCTCAGTCTCTCTGCATTGAGAGTATGCAGGAAAGCTTTGAGAAAGAGCAAGGTGGGAGGCAGGCATCTGCGTCTTGTCCCCTCTCTGCTCCTGACTGGCCGGGGCTCTTCTTCTGGAGAGATTGGCCCAGCTGTGAGGACCCACTGAGCATCCCCATGAGTGGTGAGGCAGGGGATGCATAACGACATTAGAGTTAGGAACAACGTTGTGACCACCTAGGAAACAGAGATCCAGGGTGCAGTTATTCCAGAAACATTGAGAGATCCCACTGGTGGCAGCCTGCCTTCTCTTCTTCCTTTCCTTGAGATTTCATTATGGAAATTTTTCATAGAAAAGGAGAGTCATATTTGGTGAGCCTTATGTGCCCGGCACCCAGTCCCAATGACAGCCAGCTCCTAGTTACAGGGCACAGAGGCAAACATTGCTTCGTGTTTCTTGTATTTTCGTATGTATCTCTAGATTAAAAGACTCTACAGTCAGAACCCTGTCCTGTGAGCACACTTTTCAGATGTCCCCTAATTTCTTACTGTTACTAGCAGCTGTCTCTGGCTGGTGACCGAGCCGGTGGTCTGAGCCTCGATTACTGACTCTTTTCGAGGATTTCCACGTGTGAGGTGCCTGCCTATCCTCTGTGTCTCCTTACACACCGTGCTGGTCCTTGCTCAGCTGCTCGTATCCGGCCCCAGGTACGAATCGTGCACTCCTATGCAAATCCACGGTGGATGGGCTACAGGTGACGCAGCTGAATGTTGACCACACTACAGAGAACGAGGATGAGCTTTTCCGCCTCTCACAACTGGGTGAGTCGGCGGGGGTGGGGTGGGGGGGTGTAGTGTGGAGAGGTGTGCCCTACACAGCTATGATGCTGCGCTCTGGGGCCAGCCTGCAAGGAACCCGCCTCTGTTTCCTCATCTGTGTCAGGGGATAACCTTGATATCCTGAGACATCTACCTCAGAGAATTGTGAAAGGTGAGAGGTCAAGAGGTTAAATGCTCCAAGGGGACCTGGCCCGGAAGTGGTGCTGCCTGTTAACTGGTGGAGACTGAGCAGAAGCCCAGGAAATCATGAGCTGCCCCCAGCTCCACAGAGCTCCTTCTGCTTCCTGTATTAGTTTCCTGCGGCTGCTGTTGCAAATGACCACAAACTGGTGGCTCACAGCACACACTACTCTCTCACGGTGCTGGGGGCCAGAAGTCTGCCATCAGGGTGTCAGCAGACTTGGTTCCTTCTGGGAACTCCTAGCAGCCTTTGGTGTGCCCTGGCATCTGGTCCATCCCTCAGTCTTGGCCTGTGTCTCCCCATGGCTTTGTCCCACGGGTTTCTGTGTAGTCTTCCTCGCCCTTCTCACAGAATGACAGTGTCCTAGTTGTCCGATTGGGACCCACCTAAATCTAGGAGCAAGGAGCTCTGGTAGCGTAGTGGTTATGAATCGGGCTGCAAACCACAAGGTCAGCAGTTCGAAATTACCAGCTGTTCCGCGGGAGAAAGAGGAGGCTTTCTGCTCCCATAAAGATTTATAGCCTTGGAAACCCTGTTCAGGGTCGCTATGGGTCGGAACCGACTCGATGGCACTAACAACAACAAATCTAGGATCACCATCTCCTGAGTTCCTGCCTTCATGACTTCTGCAAAGACCGTTATCCCGAGGAAGGTCATGGTCAAGTTCCAAGGATATATAAAGGGGCTTCCCAGGATTCATGGAAAAATGCCACTAACTTTGGGAAGCCCCCTCATATCTTTTTACACTACTCAACCCACTTCAGTCTCCTTCTGTGGAAGCCCCCTGGGTGGACAGGAGCAGAGGTCATCTCTGGGACAGGACAGAGGACCCGGTCAGGCAGGGCTAGAGCATTCATGGAGGAGCAGTGAGCAGTGAGAAGGGATTGGACAGTAGGGGCTGAGGACACGGGGGATTCTGGGTTAGCCGTTCTCTAAGGCGCGCTCTCATTGACATCATTCCCTGCTCATCAGTCCTCACTCTGGTTCATGGGTATGTCGCGACACCCCTCTTATGTTCTTTATATACAAGGGATGGGATTGTTTTTTGTTCTTCATCTGCTAGGTCTGGACGCAGGAAAGATCAAGCAAGTGGGGATCATCTGTGGGCAGGAAAGCACCAGGCGCATTGGGGATTACAGGGTCAAGTATGGCTACACGGACATTGAATTGCTCAGGTAGGTGTCTGTGGCAGAAGCAGGTTTTAGGCCTCAGAGGGGCAAGAAGTGCTGTTGAAGTTCAAAGTCCAGGGAGAGGTTGGTGTGGGGGACAGGCCTGGAGCCCACCAAGCCAAAAGTTGGGGTCCTATAATATGGGGTCAGTTGTGGAGCAGGACCAAAACCAAGGGCAGCAACTGGAGCCACAGGGCTTGGCAGGAGAGGGCCGGAGAGACCCAAGGCCTGTTCGTGAGCATTGTCTCTGGCTGGGTGTCACTGGGGCTGGCAAGCAATAATAATGATCACTGGGATCCTTTCTTGAGAGGAGCCTGTGGGCGCTCTTTATTGTGTGCCTTAACTTCCTATAATGAATTGAATGAAGGCTTACAAAGCAGATGATCAGCTTTACTTTACATTCAACAAATCAGCCACTTTGCTTCATCTCAGTGATTACAACCCCCTCCGTGTAACAACAGTCATCCCGCTGTCTCTAGTTCCCATTCCTCTCTTCCCACCTTTCTGAGTTTTGTCCTTTAGGCCAGTGCAGCCCTGTTGATCTCAGTGGGTGGACCATTTTGTGATGGCTGTACTTCACTGGTGGTGGTGTCCCCCCTGTATGTCTGTTGCTTGGCTGAAAATTGAGCCAAGGGTAAATTCCGGTTCAGACCAGAAGGGTGACCAACGGCTGTAGTCATGGGGTTCCACAAGTCTCTGTTTGACCAGTAAGCCTCACGCTTTTTTTATGATTTTGGGTTTTATGTCACATTTTCTCCCACACTTTCTAGGACCTTCTAATCTGATCCTCTTCAGAGCCGTTGGTAGTGGTAGTCAGACACTATCTTGCTCTCATCTGGTCTCAAGGCCGTGGAAACTGATATTCACATGGTCCATGTAAATCTTTGGACTCATTGTTTCCAAGTGTCTTCAGTTTTCATCACTGTTCTTTCCTCAGGACAGGGCAAGACCAATAGGTGTACCAGAGATGGCTGCGCACGAGCTTTGAAGATCCCAGTTGCTATTCACTAGTGTAGGCTATAGAAGCTTGTCTTTTTGAACTGTGTTATGCCAACTGACCATGTGTCTCCTGAGGTTATGGTTCTGAGCCCTAGGCCCAGCACCTCATTCCCTCCAGGTGTTTAGTTGTGTCTAAGAAGCCTTCATCGTTGTGCCCCTGTATGCTCCACACATTCATGGGTGTTTGCAGCAAGGGTAAATCCCCATGTCATGTACAGATACCCTCTGAAACCTCAGTGCTCCCACTCTCCCTCCCACACCTGTGCAGTCTGTGGGTCTCCCAGTTACTCATTCAACAAATCAGCCACTTGGTTTCATCTCAGTGATTGCAAGCCCCTCAGTATAGCATCACCTGTCCCACTTCCTTCCTGTCACTTGTTCCCATTCCCATTCTGTTGTTGCAGGATTATGCACAATGTTTGCCTCTGTGCCCTGTAACTCCTGCCCTCCTCCCTGTGTCTTCCACTGCCTTTATCATGTTGTCCAAACTCCTCCTCGTTGTATACTGCCTTCCCTGTCACCCAGGTTAACACACTTCTACCCTAGCTGTGGAGTCCTGGTGTGGTACTGTAGGATAAGCACTGGACTGCTAACCACAAGGTCAGCAGTTCAAACCCACCAGCTGCTCTTTTGAAACCTTGTACAAAATGGCTGTGAGTCAGAACTAACTCGATGGCACTTAACAACAACGCCCCTGAATGACTCTCCCTTCCCTCTCACCCCTGCTAACCATGAAAAGATGTTTCATTTAGAATTTAAAACATTTTCTTGACTTTTTACAATAGTTGTTTTTGTTCGGTGCTGTTGAGTCAGTTCTGACTCAGCCATCTTCTGCACAACAGAACAAAACACTGCCGGCTCCTGTGGCATCCTCACAGTCATTGTTAAACTTGAGCCCATCGCTGCTGCCACTGTGCCTGTCATCTCATTGGAGGTCTTCCTCTTTCTCTCGGACCCTCCATTTTATTAAACATGATTTCCTTCTCCAGGGACTGGTCCCTCCTGATAGTATGTCCAAAGTCTGAGAGATGCAGTTAGGCCATCCTGGCTTCCAGGGAACATTCTGGCTGTACTTCCAACACAGATTGGGTTGTTCTTCTGGTGGTCCATGGTGCTTTTTGTATGATTCCCCTAACAACCTAGCTCAAATGCATCAATTCTTCTACGGTCTTCCTTATTCAGTGTCCAGCTGTCACAGAGTGAATCCAACCTGGTGCACATCTTTCCTAGTTTTAAAAAACATTCAGGGTCCCTTTGTTCTGTTAGAATGACTACTTCTTGGTCTATGTATAGGTTCCTCATAAGCACAATTAAGTGTACGGAAACACTCATTATCCCAGTGTTGTTCCTAGCTTGTCATGATCCACACAATCGAAAGCCTTTGCAGAGTCAATAACGTACAGGTTAATGTCTTTCTGATGTGTGTGGTGCTTCTTAGGGCGTTGACAGTCATGGCCAGAACTGTGGCTGAGTCATACAAAGGCCTCTTGCCGTAGAACTCCTTATCAGCACAAAAATGAGGAAATTGCATTTTGTCCCTAATTTGTGGGGTTATATGTGTCTTATTGGGAAGTACACCTCTGTCATCAAAGACAGTTCCAATGGCCTTAAGAGTATAAAAGCGAGTCCTCTTCAAGCTCAAACTAGGACTCTGTTCCCAGAGGCTGCTAGCTCCTTGAGTACCTTCCCCATTCCTATTTCTGAGCACAGGCACATGTATCTGTGTGTTTGGGGGACGTGGAATCCTTTTCAGAATGTCCCCAAATGCTAGCCATACCCTACTCAGTGTTCTGCCCCCTGCTTGTTTCATTAAGGAGACCCATTCCTCTGTAATGTAGAATTTTGGCTGCTGTTGTGTTTTGTAGCCACTGCCCGGCTGTCTGGGTGCCCTTGTGTGGCTGCCAACACCCTGAATGTTCCCGGGCCAAGCTCTTTGATACTAACGTGGCTGTGATGGCGACATTCATAGGACTTGTATACTTGTCTCTTTGTACACATACGGTTTTGATTGGGAACTCTTCCACATTTAATGACTACCTGACAGTGTGGTGGAGTAAGTGTTGGACTACTGACTGAAAGAAAAGCAGTTCGAATCCAGCATCCTCTGCAAGAGAAAGATAAGCCAGTTTGCTTCCATAAAGTTGCCAGCCTCAGGAAACCTGTGAAGCAGTTCTAAATCTCGCCTTTCAGGTTGCTGTGAGTTGAGTGGGTTTGGTTCTCAGGTTTTCAGTCCGACATCAGTACCTGTTCACAGATGGAGCCTGTATTGGGGGGATCTTACCACCACCACCACCATTGGGCTTGAACACTTGTTTGGGAAGAAGTAAGCACTAGCAAGAGGAGCAGTAATCCTTATGTCTTCTTGTGCCACCTCTGTGCTCTGGACAAGAGATAGCGAACCAGGCTGGAATTGGGCATTTGACCTTGCTGTCCTGACCCTGTGTCTCTGCCAGCTTTGCTGGTCCTCTGAGCTTCGTTCTCATAGCTACCTTCAGAAGCCAGGTCCGACTTCCTGCTTGTCTCCTTCCTCTGTTACTTCTCTTCTTGTCGGGTTGTAGGTCACACTTTATATTCTGGGTGTGGAGTCTTCCCCTCCACAAAGTAAAAGTCCTCCTGGGGGTTATCCCAAGGTCAACGCTCCCCTCTGCTTTTCCCTCAGTGCTGCTAAGTCCAAACCCATCATCGCTGAGCCCGAAATCCACGGAGGGCAGCCCCTGGATGGGGTGACTGGCTTCCTGGTGCTCATGTCCGAGGGACTCTACAAGGCCCTGGAAGCAGCCCATGGGCCCGGGCAGGCCAACCAGGTGAGCTGAGCCTGCGCAGCCTGTGGGGCTGGTCCTAGGGACTTGTCTTCCTGCAGACTCAGGAGCTCAGGCATCTGCAGCTCAGCTTTGTGAGCACTGAGTTCAAAGCGGGAGTTAGAAAATACCCCGGGCCCACTGCTTAGCACCCACGCCAACTCCTGGTGAGCCTACAGGTGAGCAGAATGACCTCATGGGGTTTCCCAGACTGTCAGTCTTTACAGAAGCAGAGAGCCTCTTCATGGTCCCACAGAGCAACTGATGGTTTTGAATCTCTAATCTTTGGGTTAGCGGCCCAGCGCTTAACCCACTGCACCACCAAGACTCCTTAACCAAACCTGCTGCCATCAAGTCAGTTTGGCCTTACAGCATCTCTATATAGGGTTTCCGAGGCTGTCAATCTTTATGGGAGTGGAAAAGTCATCTTTCTCCCTCAGTGGCTGGTCCAGGGTTTGTACTGCCAACATTGTGGTTAACTGTCCAGTGCTTATCCTACAGCGCCACCAGGGCTCCTTACCAGATTTCTTGAGGGAGAAAAATCCCGGAGTTCTCTAAGACAGTCATTCTGCTAAGCTGTTCACATCTGGGCTGGAAGCCCGGCAGGCCCAGAGCAAGGGAAGAGGGTGAGGTTGGAGTGATTTTCCCTGGGCACCACAGTGCTCCCGGGTCTGCCCAGGAAGGGGCCTGAGAGGAGGCTGTGGAGTCTTGGAGTAGCAGAAGGCTGGGCTGCACCACTTCCTGCCTGTGGGGGCCACCTGGGGCTTCACTTCCCCTCTGTGAAGGCAGATAGCTTCCAGTTTGTTGTCATCTCCCAAACAAGGCCACCAGCTTGTAACCCTGTGTGGTCTTCGGCCCCCAGTGAGCACACAGTTCATACTTGGCACTGAATCATGATGTGGATGCTTTGGAAGGGAATATCTCTGCCTGCACTTGGATTGATGGGACAGGTTGAGTTCCTTTTGTAACTCTTGTAGAAAGAGAACAGGAAAAGGCCTTTGTACCTTGCTCTCACCTCTGATGCCTGAATTCCAAGTTGTCACCTGTTTTATGTTTCCCCCCAGTAACCTGATAATGGGGAAGGCAGCCTCTCACTTCCACCCGGGGTTAGGGAGCCAGGGCCCAGAGTTCAGTTGTCTGAGGTGACAAAGCTGGTGAGTAATGGAGCTGAGACCCCCAATCCCTCATTCCCACCTACCCTAGAGAGATGACCGATTGTCAGCCCATCACACAGGATTTTGATCATTTCTTCAATGTGATTTTTTTTGCAGGGAGGGGGAATCTTCAGGGTAGTTGTTGTTGTTAAGTGCTGTTGAGTCTTTTCCAACTCATAGCAACCCTACATAGGGTTTCTAAGTAGTGGCTATTGAGTTTGAACTGACGACTTTGTGATTCAAACTGACCTCTCAGTCCAATGCTTATCTATAGCGCCACGCCCAGACTCCTACTGAGTGTTAGAATATCCTGAACAGGAGGCGTCTGAGAGCAGAAACCTGTCTTCATTCGTTCTTGTATCTCCAACTCCTGACAAAATGCCTGATACATAGAACCTACAATAAGTTTGTTCCAGGAAAGCACACTTAATAGTACTGACACTTTATATGGGACTCTTTAGTGTAAAACGTGTTTTCCCATGCATTCTGGGATTTAATCCTCTTACTGACCAGTGAGGTGGATATTATCTCCATTTCAGAGATCACTGGGTCACACAGCTTCTAGTGAGAAAGTTCCAGAAGGATTACCCTGCATACCTTGAAAAGCTCAGATAACAGGGACTTCCTTCAGCTGCTTGGCCCGAGCTCGGCCCTCACCAGGTCCTCGCTGTCCTGCCTCCTCCAGGAGATTGCAGCAATGATTGGCACGGAGTTTGCCAAGCAAACCTCCCTGGACGCTGTGGCTCAGGCCGTGGTGGACCGGGTGAAGCGCATCCACAGTGACACCTTCGCCAGTGGCGGGGAGCGTGCCAAATACTGCCTCCGGCATGAGGACATGACCCTGCTGGTGAGGAACTTTGGCTACCCACTGGGTGAGATGAGCCAGTCCACACCGACCCCGTCCCCAGGTACGCTCCCCGGGGAAGCATGCAGAGAGTTCCACCAGCGCTAGAGACCCGCAGAGCCAGCGATTCCCATCCACGCTGCAATGGGTTTCCTTTGTAAAATGTGGGCGCCCTGCCTAGCACTTCCACAGGCCCGAGTGCATGCAGAAGCCCTTGGAGAGGCACGGCTGGGGCAGGGGGCAGGTGGGGGGGGTCACCTGGCTGAGTGCTTCCTGTCCTAGCTTTAATGAGCATGGTTCCCTCCTTTGACAGGAGGACACTGAGGCTCAAGACAGTGGGGACCTAGATGAGGCCCCAAAGCCCAGATGGGCTCTCAGGAAGTGAGGTGATGCCCCTCCTGATGTTGGTGGTCCTTTCTCATTGGGGGTTCGTGACATCTTGTTATCGTGACCCTATGTTTACTGGACCCGCCTCAGATAGTAGCAAATATGTCCCTGGAGGAATAAAGCTTCCAAGGCAGTGACACTTCCCTGAGGCTGCCTGAGCCATCGAATGAGTCTGCCACTGCCCTGAGCACCAGGGGAGGGAGGCCCTGGCTGGCCTGCCAGTGTCCACCAAGGATGCTCTGAGCAGTCCAGGGGCAGAGAGCTGAGCTGGGGCTGGGAATGGTCAGGGCCACCCCTGGGTCAGCTCCATTCCCCACTGTGTCCACCCTACCCTTTCCCCCTGATGCTGCAGGAGGCCGCGTGTACCCTGTGTCTGTGCCCTACTCAAGTGCTCAGAGCACCAGCAAGACTAGTGTGACACTCTCCCTCGTCATGCCCTCCCAGGGCCAGATGGTCAACGGGGCCCACAGTGCGTCCACCCTGGATGAAGCCACACCCACCCTCACCAAGTAAGTCCGCTCGCCCCAGTCTTCCAGGCCTGCATCCCATGTCCCTCGGGTCATCACTTGGTACTTGCACAGGAATGGCCACCTGGTCAAGTCCTGTGGCTGAGAAACCTCAGTGGGCTGTCCTGGGGTCTCGTGCCTCTCAGGTTCCCACCTCCACTCCTGGTGAGGGAGCGCTCTGGACAGCACATGGAAACCATGGAGGTTGGGGCACAGAGAAGGCAAGCTGTGGGGAGGGGACAGGGCCTGTTGTTAGGTGCCGTAGAATCAGTTCTGACCCATAGCCACCCTGTGTAGGGTTTCCAAGGAGCAGCTGGTGAGCTTGAATCACTGACCTTGTGGTTCAAACCGACTTTGCAGTCCAGCGCATGAGCCCACAGCACCACAGCCACACCAGGATTATTGTTGTTGCTAAGTGTCGTCCTGTCAGTTCTGACCCATAGCGACCCTGTGAGCTGGAACAGCCGACTTTGTATATTAGCCTGCAGTGCCAGGACTCTAGGACTGGTGGTGGTGGTGGTGATGTGCCATGGAGTCAATTCCAACTCATAGTGACCCTGCATAGGATTTCTGAGACTGTAAATCTTTACGGGAGCAGAAAGCCTCATCTTTCTCCCACAGAACCGCTGGTAGTTTCGAACTGCTGACCATGAGGTTAGCAGCCCAGCCCATAACCACTATGCTACCAGAGCTCCTAGGACTATTGTTAGGTGCCATCAAATGGATTTTAACTCATGCTAGCCCCATGTGACTGCCCTGTAGGGTTTTCTAAGCACTGGACTGCAAACCACAAGGCTCATGGTTCAAGCCCACCAGCTGCTCTGCGGGAGAAAGATGAGGCTTTTTATTCCCACAAAGATTTTTTTGAAAGGCCTTGGAAACCCTCTGCAGGATCACTGTGAGTCAGAACTGACGTGACAGCACTTAACTACTATAGCAAATCTCTGTGGGAGCAGCTCACCAGCTCTTTTCTCCCATGGAGCTGCTGGTGGGGTCAAACACCAGCCTTGTTCTTAGAAGCCAAGCACTTAACCCATTGTAAATCGGACCTCTGTTGTGTGCTGTGGCATCGATTCCAAACCCTGTAGGACCACGTAGAGCTGCCCTGGCCCTACGTAATGACTCACTGCTGCCAAGTGGTCTCTGACTCATGGTGACCCTCTGCTGTGGTGGCTAGGTGTCATCCAGGTGCTTCCCACTCATAGTGACCCTATACAGGGTTTCCGAGGAGTGCCTGGTGGGTTTGAATCGCTGACCTTGAGGTTTAACAGTCCAGTGCTTATCCGACAGTGTCACACCAGCGTCCAATGGTGGTAGTGGGTATGTGCCGTGGTGTCGGTTCCAACTCATAGTAACCCTGTACAGGGTTTCCCAGGATATAAATCTTTACGGGAGCAAAACGTCTCATCTTTCTCCCGTGGAACAGCTGGTAGTTTCAAACTGCTGACCTTGCGGTTCACAGCCCGATTCATAACCACTAAGCTACCAGAGCTCCTTAGGGTCCAGTAGGACAAGGTATAACTGCCCCATAAGATTTCCTAACCTGTAATCTGTATGGGGGAGTCCTGGTGTGGCACTGGACTGCTAACCACGACATTGGCAGTTCAAACCCAGCAGGTGCTCCTCGGAAACCCTCCACAGAGTTGTTATGAGTCAGAACTGACTTCGTGGCACGTAACAACAACAACAATCTCTGTGGAAGCTGATTGCCAGGACTTTCTCCTTCGGAGCTACTGGGTGGGTTTGAACTGCCAACCTTTTGGTTAGCGTTCACCACCAGAGCCCCTTGACATTATATGCGTAAAACTCGCTGCATTTGGTCAGTTCCAACTCCTTAGGACAGAGTTCTGCTCCGTACTGTTTTCCAGACTGAATTTTAATGAAGCAGACTGCATTACCTTTCTTCCTCAGAGCAGCTGGTAGGTTCGAACCAGCAACCTTTTGCTTAGCAGCCTAATGCTTTAACCACTGCACCAGCCACATACTAATTTTCATTGGATGGCAAGTTTCTCCTATTGTTTTTTTTCTTTCCCTGCAAATTGGAGTGTAACCTGTGGGGTCCTCCCCCACAGCGCCCATACAGGAAGAAATTGTCTGGGCTGTGCTGGCTGGTCTGATAGGGGCTTTTTGAGAAGCGCAGTCCCTTTTTGTTAAGCTTCAGTTCTCAAATTGAAGGTATAGGGGGAGGGCGAGGCTGCAAGGACGTCTGAAGCCTGAAAGGGGTCAGGCAGCCCCCCTTCAGCCGCTGACCTGCTCCTGTGGAATGTGTGCCCCCACCACACTAGGGGGCAGGCTCGGGTTTCACATTCCACGCCTGCCACACCCAGCCCACTCTGAGTCTGGAACCCTGGATGCAGCCAATCGGAAGCCCTTTCAGGGAGGGCGTGGCCCTGAGTTCCTCCGCATTGCCTGGGGGCCGCCTTCTCTCCCTGCCCCCAAGCTTGTGCTGTGGTGGGCCATAAGGCCTGCTGGGCAGATGAGAGCCTTTGGTTCTTCCAGCACTGTAAGATAGCCTCACAACCTACAGGGCCACTCAGAACAAGACACCAGCTGTGTCCACAAAGGCAGAGCAGTGGCTGAGGTCCTCGACAGGCTGGAAGTCCAGCCAGCCAGTTCTGCCTTGGATTCCCTCCCTACCCCTCCATCTAGCAACAGCCAGTTCCCCTGCCATGGCTGGGCTAATCGTGCTGCCCAGGAGAGGGGAGTGAAAGCAGGGACTCCAGCGAGGTCGCAGGGAGAGAGGTGACCCATTTGGGTTGGAATGGATGGCCTCTGGCTGGCCACTGTCCAGTAGGACTCTGTGTGATGGCAACTATTCAGTGCCATGCTGCCCCCACGTGACATCTGTTTGCCACAATGGCGTGCATGTGGTGCTGTTGGTTAATGCGCTGGATTGCAAGGTCCATTGGAACCGCAAGGTTGGCAGTTCAAGCTCACCAGCCTCGCCTCAGAAATCCTATAAAGGGTTGGAACCGACTTCATAGCATTTAACAACAACAAATAACCACCAGTGGCTAGCCCTTCAACAATATAGTGGGCTTTTCTGCCCTTAGAACACCTGGCCAAGGGGCTAGATCAGATGGGGATGGGGGTGGTGGCTGACCCCCCACTCGTTTATCCCGGCAGCCAGAGCCCGACGCTGACCCTACAGTCTACCAACACACACACCCAGAGCAGCAGCTCCAGCTCGGATGGCGGCCTCTTCCGCTCCCGACCGGCCCACTCACTCCCACCTGGCGAGGATGGCCGTGTCGAGCCCTACGTGGACTTTGCCGAATTTTACCGCCTCTGGAGCGTGGACCATGGGGAGCAGAGTGTGATGACAGCACCGTAGCTCTGGCTGTGAGGGCAGGAGGGGCATTTAGTCTTTCCCTGATGCTTTCTCCTCCTGGGCCTCCAGGCCTCAGCCTGCACTGGCCTGTGACCCCCGCGGTGGCTCCCCGTGTGGCCAAGATTATGCTGAGGACCCAGTGCCATGTTGAGCCTGCTCAGTGCTCCTACGGTCTCCTCAGCCAGGACAGTCACCCCAACCCCCATCACACACCCTGAGCCCTTAGACTGTGTGGGGGTTCTCCTGTGACCCCACCTGCTGCAGGCTCAGCAGTCCCCACCCCACCACCAGACTACCTTCCCCCTCCTCTGCCTCCCTCCTCTACCTCAGCCTCAGGGCCTGGGGTGGCAGGGGACAGATGGAAAGGCAGTGAGTGATGGGGGCTGGTCCACTAAGGGATTCCTGGAGCCCCAGAAAGAGGAGTGGGTGCATGCAGGCGACGCAGAGATTTGCCTCCACACAGCTGGGCAGGCTTCTCTCCTCAGGCCCTTCCAGGAAGTGGGGAGCCCCCAGTCAATTTGGGAGCCCCTGAGAGCCATCTTGACCACTGCCTCAGGTTGTGAGTCAGGCCAGGGCCCGGGGAGCAGTCAGGGCAGGGAAATTCCTAACAGGAAAAGGCTTCTTGAGGCCAGCGCCCAGGGCAGCCGGGCTGTGGGACTGGATTCTCCCAGCCTCTGAGGGAAGCAGCTGTTGAAGCATTCAGAGACCAGGAACCCCAGGTCTGAGAACCCAGACCTCTAGTTGTTCTGTCAAGATCCCAGGCCCCTCTGCCTCCTCTCCCCAGCTTCCCAGACTGAGTCCTGCAGTGGCAAAGCGGGGTTCTCAGGAGGCCCCAGCCTGGGCAGAGGACCCACTCCCCCTTCCCCGGAGGCCATGTCTGTGCCAATGAGCAGATTGGGGGTTGGGGGACACACAAGAATCCCCTCCATGCTGCGGTTGTCTCCAGGAAAAGCATCGCTTCTTGAATGCAGCCAAGAGATAATAAACAGTGTTATCCAGAGCTCAGGTCTGTTGAACTTGAGCCCTGGGGGTGGATACCTCTGTCTGAGTGGGGGAGGGTGGCTCAGAACTCCCCATGCAGGTCACCAGGCTAAGAAGGGCAGAGCTGGGCTATAAACCCCACCAAAGTTGTAGGTGCTGCCCATACCGGCCCTGAGGGGCAAATACTGGGTGGTTTGGCACCCCTGCATGTCTGCTGAAGGAGACGTGGGCAGTGCCTTGGGTCACCAGAGTCCCCACCCTTTCACCGACTAGTGGACATTTGTTTATTGTTCCTGTGCTTTATTTTGGTTTTGTTTTGGTGGAAATTTTTCTCTAAACACTGGTCCATAAAGTACCTCTTCCTGCTTTCTGAGACAAGCATCCGCTGCTAAAATGGAAACACTGCCTGCCAGACCAAGTGGTGTGGCTGCCAACTCCCAGGTCCTTCCCTCAGAATCTGACTGGCCACTGGACCCTCAGAAGAGCAACATGGTTCTGCTGGCCTTAAACATGCCAGGAGTCACTGCTTCAGCCCAGTCCTCCTGTGACGGAGCAACTAAGGGCCACAGTCCTGGTCACGAATGGTCACCAGCTTTAACCTAGGTGTGGGGGAGGGGGACTGCCCTGATGACCTTGGTGACATTTGACTCCACTGAAGGAGACCACTGCTTCAGTCCCCAGACCCAACTCAGCCAAGCTGTAGATGGTGTCCGAGGAGCAGCTGGTAGGTTTCTACTGTCCACCTTCTAGTTCCATGTCCAATGCTGGTCCTACAGCGTCACACCGGGAGTCCAGGTTCCCTTTAGTGGAGCAGCAAAGGGGAATGCTTGAGAGCAGGTTTTAAAGGTTTAAGAATAGGGCCAAAGGTCAGGACAGCTAGAAATGAGCCTCCACAGCAAGGCATAGCTGTGGCCCTGGGTAGTGGATTCGAGTTCAACCCTAAAGCACTTGACCTGTGAAGGGCTGTGGGTGACAGCCAGGGCCTGACATTTTAAATCTTGACCTAAGTTCAGCCTGCATTTGAGTTCTTCCTGACCATTAACCAGCTTTGTCCTCAGGCAGAGTTCATTTGAAAGTAGATTCCCACTCAACAGACAGGGACATTTTGCCTGGATATGCCTTTAATAAGTATGGTGAAAGAATACAACCTTGTCGCACACCGTTCTTAATTTTAAACCATTCAGTGTTCCCATGTTCTGTTTGAACAACTGCTCTTGGTCCGGGTACAGATTCCTCATGAGCACAATTAAGTGTTCAGGAATACTCATACTTCGCAAAGTTGTCCATAGCTTGTCTTGATCCATATGGTAAAAGCCTTTGCGTGGTCAATAAAGCACAGGTAAACATCTTTCTGATATTCTCTGCTTTCAGCCAAGATCCTTTGGACATGAGCAATGATACCCCTCGTTCTACGGCCTCTTCTGAATCCGGCTTGAATCTCTGGAAGTTCTCTATCAATGTATGCTTATGGCCATTTCTGTATTACCTTTAGCAAAACTTAACTTGCATGGGATATCAAAGAGATTGTCCAATGATTTCCGCATTCCGTTGGGCACAAATATGGATCTCTTCCAATCAGTCAGCCAGATAGTTGTCTTCCAAATTTCTTGTCATAGATGAGTGAGTGCCTTCTGTGCCACCTCACTTTCTTGAAAGATTTCAAGTTGTAGTCCATCAATTTCTGGTGCCTTGTTCTTTGCCAATTCCTTCAATGCACCTTGGACTTCCTCCTTCAGTATCATTGGCTCTTGATCATAAGCTACCTCTTGGAACAGTTAAACATTAACCATTTCCTTTTGGTACAGTGACTCTGTGTATTCCTTCCATCTTCTTTTGATGCTTTCTGCATCATTCAGTAATTTGCCCAGTCAATCTTTCAATAACGAAAGTCAAGGCTTGAATTTTTTCTTCAAAAAAAAATTTTTTTTTTTGAGAAATGCTGAGCATGTTCTTCCTTTTTGGTTTTCTGACTCCAGATCTTTGCACATTTTGTTGTAATATTTGGCTTTATCTTCTCGAGCTGATCTT